GGAGGATCAAGCTCTTTGGTTGACAATAGACAACGTATCAACAATGGAGAGGGTGAATGGATATAACAAAGTCACTATGTTATAAATGCCGACAATAATATGTGCCTTTTGGGTCTTGTAGCTGTAGGGTTGTTAGTTAGTGCTGTAGATTATAATTCTCTCCATGGTTGTATGTGCATGCATCTGTATATGCATATGCAGGAGGTGTCCTTAAGAAGTCAACATTTGCCAGCAGTCAGCATGCAGAGGTAGCTGAGCTACCACATTCCCCCTATCGCTTTGAAGAGGGATGTTTGGTGGTAGATGAAGGGATGAGTAGTGGTGGAAAGCTGGCTCAAAGAAGAGCTTTCTTAGGGGGGACTTGACGGAGGGGTGTCATGGTTGACCAGGGAGCCTCTTTCAAGCCACAGCAGACAGCATGAACAATCAGGAGCTGGCAGAGTGAGGAGGAGGAGATGCAGACGGAAACCAAGGCAGAGATGTAGGCAGTGCAGAGCCTGGAACGAGGATTCTGATAACCCCTCCACTTCCCCCAGCCAACTCCTTGGTTTGAAGCTTTATTAAATTAAGCTAGGGGCTACCCAGAACCCTGGGGATTTTTCTTCCAAACCATCTGCATTGGAAGCTGGAATCCTTTGAAGCCCCTTGCCTAGGGAGGGTATCACATGCTAAACAGTTGGCGTTTTATGTGAGGCTGTAGTCTCTGAAACCCCGAAAGGGGAAAAACTTGCAGCAGAGAAGTGAAAGCAATCTAAAAACTTTTTCTCGCCCATATCCCCTGCCCCCTTATCAGTCAGATAATTTACCCTTATCCTCTAGGAAAGAGAAAAAGGGATTTGTATGGCCCACAAATTTTGAAAAAAAACCACACCTAGAGTGCCCCAGATTCTCTCCCAGGAAAAAAAGAGCACATAGTGGAAAATCCTTTCCATGTAGAACACTGCAGTCACTTCCTACTATACAACAACAGTGATATCTGTTAGAGACGTCACTGAGAAATCCATCATCCTAATTCAGCGTAGGGGTCAAACCCTGAATTCCTTGCTCATTTTGTCACCTCAGTCCTTGCTCAGGCAAAACTTACACTGACATCAATAGCATAGTAAAACCCAAGGATTCCTAAATAATGTTGCACAGTTGGCCAAACTCTTTGGGGTCCTTTGGGGATCTGAAGAAGTGGGTTTTTTACCCATGAAAGCTTATGCCCAAATAAATCTGTTAGTCTTTAAGGTGCCACTGGACTCCTCATTGTTGTTACAGACTAACGCGGCTACCACTCTGATATGTGGGGTGAGAGTAAGACATTGTCAGAAATGAGAAATTTCATACTGATTGGGGCAATATACTGAGGTGAAAACTAGCAGTGTCTCTACCTCACATTCCAGAATTTCACCATGTGGACTATTGTGCAATTTTATTCTCACACACACACACTACACGCACACAGACACAGACACATACATTTGAAACTAATAAACGGTCTGTCTTAAATGTTCTTAACATTCACGCTGGAGATTGGCTGTAGCAGAGAAACAAGGCTGGATCATGGACCAGTGTCTTATTAGCAGCTTGTTCTATACTACCAAAGTGAGAAATGGAGCTGCACTAAAGCAAGAAAACAATGCCTGTGTGGGATTCTGCTGACAACCGACCACCCAATGTCCTCTCTTTTGTTTGAGATTTCACCATAATGATCAGATGGAATTATTCGTTCATAACTCCACAGCTCATGAATTATTCTGCATCAGTGGTGTTCCATGCTTCATGTCAACACACTACTTACGTTCATGCAGGATGAATCTTAATATTTTAATTTCCTTATGATGGGATTTTTCAATTCTGCTGCATCATTTTCGATTGATCAAAAATCAGATCAGTAGGATCAGGCTGGCAACCCTAAAAGATCCACCTTTCTAGATGTTCACAAATCCCTTCTATGCATTAATAATACTCTGTTCTCCTATAAACCTTTCATCCAACAATCTTTACAATTGATCCTCACAAGCCACCCTGTGAGGTTGAGAAATGTTATTGCCATTATATGGATGGGCCACATTATATGGGGAAAACCAGCCACTGCGAGGTTGAATTGCTTGCCGAAAAACAAGTTAATACCAGTTCAGAATAGAATGTAGCTCTGTCCAGTGTCTCAGCCACAAGACAGTCTTTCTCCCTAAACCTCCATTCAATTTTTTTGTCCAGCAGCTGAAGGGAAATGTGAAGCATCCTTGTGGAAAATAAGCTTTTTGAAACCTTGACTGCAAGCTACCCACACATCAGAGTTGTCAGCTAGGCTGCACATATGTGGTTAAGGGGAATGAAATTTAAAGGACCTTCTGTTTCTATGCACAAAGGTCTCTACCAGTTCACCTACACAGAAGAATCTGTGTCAGCTGCCAGTATTCATTTTTTCTCCTTTGTGGGTTTCCAGCCTGGAAGAGGGACAGAAGTCTGATTCTATCCAGCAGGGGCAGTGATGACATAAACACTAACCAATATAATAGAAAGCATTAGTGCAATTGCGATCTAAATTATCCAGGGTAACACCAGTTCCTGTTCTGCTTCTTTTCCTGCATTAACTGTTGGGGCTCGGAGTTGTTCCTAGGATGGGGAGGATCAATTACGTGATACAAACAGACAGTCTGTTTTTAATTTTGAATATTCCAACATTCTCTGGAAATTGCAGATTATTAAAGAGGAGACTGGAGCAATTCAGTTTAAGCAAACCAAAGAGGTTACACTGCACCCCAGCGACCTCTGGGGGTGATCTTGTTAGATCTCCCAAAATAAGCGGGGTTGAAATGGTATAAGAGATCATTGGTGAGAACCGCTATGTTGCAAGATGTGCTCTCAGTGATTCAATAGAGATGGTGTTTCTCCTTGGTGAGTCAGTACTGAACCAGTATTCTGGAGAGGTGCTAGGGGGTGCCATCCTAACAGGGGTGCCATCTTCCAGAGGACTCAAGGCCCTGGCCATGTGCTGTCGTAAAATAAATAATCTGAGGGAGAAATTTAGCAAGCACAGTCAATCTGTGGAACTCTTTGCCAGAGGATGTTGTGAAGGCCAAGACTATAACAGGGTTAAAAAAAGAACTAGATAAATTCATGGAGGATAGGTCCATCAATGGCTGTTAGCCAGGATGGGCAGGGATGGTGTCCCTAGCCTCTGTTTGCCAGAAGCTGGGAATGGGTGACAGGATGGATCATTTAACGATTACCTGTTCTGTTCATTCCCTCTGGGGCACCTGGCACTGGTCACTGTCGGAAGACAGGATACTGGGCTAGATAGACCTTTGGTCTGACCCAGTCTGGCCATTCTTATGTTCTTAAGAGAGTGTTAACTCTGAGGTGCTGACTGATCAAATGTTCATTGCTGTCTCCACACCTACGTTCTTTCTCTGACTTCACCTAGTACCAGGTTTGCTTCCTGTCCTAAATTAGAATCTGGGGTTGTTGCATTTTGCTTTGCAGTTGCTCTGTTTCATCCTTGCATGTCAGTGCTGGGCTATTTTGGGGCTAAATCTTGAGGCCTTTGCTTGGGGCCAGAAGCCATGTGTGAGTGTGCAGCGTTGGAGGATGGGTACATGGAGCCTTCCTTTGCCTCCCACCTGCTCCCCTGCACAGTGAGTTGTCCCTGTTGGACCGAGGAGCGCAGGCGCTATTCCAAGCTAATGCTGCTGGTGATGATCGCCTTCTCGAAGGGGTTGTGATGAGAGGGCCATGGCTATGCATGGGGAATAGAGGGGTTCATGCTGCACCCTTTCAAATGGTGATGGAGCTGCTCCCTGTGTGTGCTCCTGCAGAGCCCAAGGAGGAATTCTGGCTGAGTCAACAAAAAATCCTTCAGTGGCTTTTCTCTCAGAGTGGAGCATCCTGAGCCCACATAATTTGGACCTTGGCTTATAGCCGCAATCTGCTCTTTAATCCCTACTCAGGCAAAGCTCCAATTGAAGTGGAGAAAGGTTCCCAGGTATGGCCCACAACTGGTATAATAAGGCCTCCCTCCTGCACAGATTTAGACACATGCTTAACTTTACACACACGGAATAGTTCCTGAAAGAGTTACTCATAGTTCAGAAAGTTAAGCATGGGTGGCAGGATCAGGGCTTAGGTTTGTAAACTATGTTGATTCAACATTTTTCCTCCATGTATTGCTCTTTACCATTGACAGGTAGCAACATGGTTCAGATTGTGCTAAACAGAAGTAATTTAGGTATTAAAACCAACTGGCTACATTGTTTAGCAGAGGAATTAAATTGATGATCAGCTTTTGAAGCATCAAGTGAGACGTAACAGAAAGGATAATGTGTAATTATTTTTTCTCTGTTGCATTTGAATGGCATATGCGTCTTTGTTATTTATCTGCTGGTTTGATTTTTAATTATTTGTTCTGGAGATAATGAGCGATTGTGCTGTATTTATAGAAAATTCCTAAGCTGTGATATTATCCGCTTCTGTGCTGTCTTTCTGCAAACACGGGTAGGTTGGCGATTAATTATCGCTAGAAATATGAATTAAATTTCAAGTGGTAACAAATAACAAATAGGACTGAAATTTACAAGACTAGCATTGTGTTTTAAAATCCAAATATCTGCTTAGTTACTCATTTCATGGCTCTTGCGAGAAGTGATTATAGACATGGACAAGATATAAAAGCTCACCCTTTATAGCTATTTGATCAATAAATTCATGATGTATCTCTGCTTCCCCTCCCCAAGAAGTTCCTCTCTGTCAGTTTTTTCTATTGATTGAGTCTACCTGCATTGAGTTATATAGTGATTATGGTGGCTGGTGCTATGGGGAAAGCACAAGACTAGCACACAACTGCAAAAATATTTTATTTTATGCTCTTTTTTTTTTTTTTAAAGGAAAATTTATTCGAGGCAGAAGCTCTCTGCTTTTCCCTTCAACTTATCAGTCAAACCAACAGTGAGTCCTAAAATCCTGGATATTTTTATTATTTCTTGAGTGATCCTTCTCTCTCTCGTTTGGTTTCACAGACAGTGAAATTATTCCTCCCGACTGCCTGCGTCCGAGATCTTTCACTGCAATTCGCCGGCCCTCGCTGCGCAGGGAGACAGAGGACACCCGGCTCTCCGTGAGCCTCTGCGACCTCAACCTCCAGGAAGAGAACTTCCATGTGCTGGCCACCATGTGTCCCATCCCTCAGAACTCCCTCAATTCTCAGCATTCCCATCTCTTCCCATCCCAGCTCGAAAGTGACCTCCGCTTCCACCAGCTCAGGGGAGCCCATGTCAAAATCCTGGACGACCAAACTGTGGCCCGGCTGGAACATGCCCGGGAAGAGAGGACTTTGGTTTTCACCAGCAGACCCCTTAGAATCAATGAAACCATTTTTGTTAAAATTAACAAATCAAATGCCTCCCGCTCCGGCACACTGTCATACGGAGTGACCTCTTGTGACCCTAGTACTCTGAGGCCCAGTGACCTTCCTTATAACCCAGAGTCGTTGGTTGACAGGAAGGAATTCTGGGCAGTCTGTAGAGTCTTGGTGCCCCTCCAGAGTGGAGATATCTTGGGGTTTATGGTGAATTCAGAAGGCGAACTGCATTTGAGTCATAATGGTGCCAGCGCCGGCATGCAGGTCTGCGTGGACTGTTCCCAGCCCCTCTGGATGTTCTTTGGTTTACATGGAGCAGTTATGCAAATTCGAGTATTGGGTATGTTTGTCTATTTTAAAATTTCACGCGAAAAATATTGAGGAGGTCCGATTTGTGGGGGAGGGGAATTGAATTAAAAGATTAGAAGGCGATCAGCTTACTGTAGGCCACATACACAAAAAGTTTTATATCTACCCCCCTTCCACCCTCAAACCCCCCCCCCCCCCCAAGGGCTCTGTAGTTTTGTGAACCTACACCCAAGAATACTGAGTTAGAATACTGTACTTTGCATTTATATAGCACCTTTCACATAAAGATCTCCAAGCTCTTTGCAAATACAAACAAATGAATCCTCATCATCTCCTGGTGAAATAAGGAAGTGTGAGCCTTTTGCATAGGGAGAAAAGGAGGTGTCATGATTTGCCCGAGGTCACACAGGAAATCTGTGGCAGAGCCTGTTCCTGTGCATTAACCACAAGCCCAAACAGGCACCAGAGAAAGTCCTCCTGAATCCCTCATGTTAGATTATGCAAAGAAGTCACAGTGAAATGAACTACTGTTTCATCTTCGCATCTGAGTGCAAAGCAGAAATCCAACAAACCATGAGATGTTTACGACCCATTCTGCTTTAATTAGGCAAGCGTAAGTGATGCAGGTAAGTAAATCTTTTAACATAGATGATCTGTATCTCAACAGTGTCCCTTTAACTGGAATGTTTCTAGGTGGAAAGTGTAGAACAAACACTGAAGAAATATTTTGAAAGCATGGAAGTGGAAGTCTGCAGGCAAAAAATGCTTGTGCACGCACCTTTGCTTGTACACTCTTAGATTTGTGTGTGCAGGTATCTGCTGTGTGCCAGCACAAGCATTTTTGCCGGTGCAAGCTGTCTTCTTTAGCTTAGCCTTGAATGTGGACCAAGTCCTGGTCCTGCTGATGTCAGTGTCAAAACTTGCAGTGAAGTCTGTGGGAGCAAGGTTTGGCCCTCAGAGAGCAGTTCCTTTGTAGTTTATATCCAATATGTAAATAACAAGGGGTTCATTTGCTAACAGTACATTCAAGATATTTAGTTAGGGGCTAGTCTACAATGAAAACATACATTGGCATAGGCACATCTCTCAGAGGTATGAAAAATCGACACCCCCAAGAGGGAGAGCTATGCTAACCTAACCTGCTGTGTAGACAGTGCTACATTGACAGAACAATTCTACTGCCTGTCAGGGAGGTGGATTAACCCCTCCCATCACTGTCGGGATTTTCTATGCTGAAATGCGACAGTGTCACAGCTGCAGCATTTAAAGTGTAGACACAACCTAGGAAAGCACTCGTGTCTCAACCTTAGCTAAAGGGAGGCTATCTTGTAGTGCTGGACTCAGACGTTAGACGTTGCACCACATTAGACAAAAACAATGGCAGTACGCTGAATATTTAAATACTCCGTAAAGGATTTACAAATAGGTGTTAATTAAAATCCTCTAATTAGTGTCACTTTTGCTGTGGAGGGAGAAGCAGCAGTTTAAGGCTGTGCAGGCATTTGGCTTTGAAAAGTCATTTGGCTGAATTTCTTCCAAACTTCTGGTATATGATGTCAACCAAAGAATTTTTCAAATCCCCATTTGAAGCTGAATGGTTGAAAGATGCTGCTCCCGCTGTGCGCTACTTGCAGCCTGGGTAGCCTGGCTACTGGTTCCCTACCACGACTAGTTCATGACACTCCCGGCTCCAGCACGGAGCTGTGAAATTGACAAGAAATCCAACAGTCGATGTAAGTACCTGCAGAGTCTACACAGACACTGCCTCGCCCGAACTACACCGACATAAGTCCTACACCTCTCGTGGAGGTGGAGTTGTTATGTCGGTGTAGTGGGGCACTTACATTGGTGGGAGCAAGGCGGCAGTGTGTATACTGACGTAATTAGGTCGACGTAAGCTGCTTTACGTCAACCTAACTCTGTAGTGTAGATCAAGCCTCAGAGACAGACAGTCCAACCGTCTCCTACTTCCTTTTACTGTCCATTCTCTTCCACTCCAATCTCCTGTCAGCCCTCTTGCTCAGGTATGAATGTAGGAACCCTGGCAGACTGCAGACCTGCATTCTGCCTATAAGTCCCTATGGGAAGTTGCGTCTCTCTTCACTCTTTCAAGGTTCATTTTAAGGGAAGATATGCTTATCATAATCTGTGATGGGTTGGCTAGATACCGGTGATCTTGCAAGCTCATATCTACATCTCAAGTGAATCTTGCATTTAGAATGTGCTCCTCGCTGGGGTATCTGAGTCCCAGTATAAGCATGACAGTTTTCAGAGTAAGAAATCTAATCTTTCTGCAGTGCATTACTTCACTTTTAGGAACAGATATTTTAAAAAAAGTTAGGCTTGCAATTAGATGCCTACTTTGGGCACACAATGACCGGACTGCACATGCATATAGCTAATTAATGGGATTCGTCGGTGTAATTTAGATGATTTAGTTGGTGTTGGTCCTGCTTTGAGCAGGGGGTTGGAATAGATGGCATCCTGAGGTCTCTTTCAACCCTAATATTCTATGATTCTATGATAATTACTTAATTTGAAAATATGACCCTTGCTTTTTTAAAGGCCCACTACAAAAATAATCCCTCCATCAAACAGAAAAAACAAATTATTTTTGGAAGAGCTAGTGGCTAAACTCTCCTCCTAGGAAATGGGCATAACCCCCTTTAACGATGATTTGGGGTGAACCTGCCTACCTGTCTGCAAGGCTTTCTTTCATGGTATAGTTTGATTATAGTGACTTATTAGCAATAGGAGAAGAACTACCTTAAGTGATCTATTTAAGACTTATGAACCCTAGGCATAAGTTTTTATTACTAACATCCTGCTGTAATTAAAATGCTCAAGCATAACACATGTGACACTACCATTTATTGCTTTAACCACTATTCATCGTCTAATAGCCACTGGGATCCAATTTGATGACAGTTCCTGTGTGTGCTGTACAGAGAGCCTGGCTAGCTTTTTCCCCCAGCTAGCACATCATTCTGATAATGGTAGATCAAGCCAAAGAGACCTGGCTGGGGAATAAAGAGGATTAAATGATACTATACTTAAGCAGGGAAGTCCCATCTGGCCTGGTAGGCACAGGAAAGAACAGAACCATCAGGCCTCCACCATGCCACAGTTTACTTTGATACCAGATCACCTGTTCTGCCAGCTGTATCATGAGCACACACGGTAACCGTCTCCTGAACGCGGTTGTAAGAGGACAAGCTAGAATTTTTTTAAACTGGAGTGTAAGTGAGGGGAGTTGTTGGCATTAATCTAATGTCCCCAAAGGAAGGATAAGGATCCCTCTGCTGGTACATCTATTGTAATGCTGGCTGACAGTAACTAGCATCATCCAGTACAATGTTATGACATTTGCACTGCCTACATTATAAGACATGCCTAAACCATAAATGTAACTTTGCAGCCTTAAGTTGGATTGTTATAAAATGTCAGTGTTTTTAACACAGTTGGGCTGTTTATACAGAGCAGTTATCAGACTCTCACCAATACTAGCCACTTCATGATGCTCTAGTTACAGGATCAGTCCTACGGATTGATCATTTCCAGGCCGGAGGATGAACTAGATGACCTAATAGAGTATTCCTATCTCTAGCTTCTATGATGCCATAGTGAATCTGAAGCGTAAGAAATGCCATTTATATCCGTCTTCTCTGGCAGTCAATGGGAAACATGCAAAAACTCTATTACGACAACAAGAAATGAAGACACAAATAGTGCCAAAAGCACCATTCTGGTTGCTTATTCTAGTGCAGTAAATATTATAAAGCAGATGTAAATCTCTTCCTAGGGGTATCACTCAAGCGCTTATTAAAATAAGTAAAGCACCACCACACTGAATTAAAGGAACAAAGAGCTGTGACATTAACTCCAAAAGCCGGGAATTTAAAGTCAAGGTGTTTCATTCTCCTCTCCAGCCTTTCTGCTTTTTCTGCAATACAGATAAAATTATTCCTGGCCACTGGCAACGCCATTGCACAATTAGAAGAATTAAGAAAGGTGAATTAGAGGACTGGATGGCTCAGGAGACTGATTATTGGAGACTGACTTTTCCACCTCTAGATCAGCCATTTGGCTGTGACCCAGGATGATGACAAATGAAAGTCATTGCCATCTGATGACTGTAATTGCCATTACAAAGTCAACATTTACCAACAGCAGCTGTCCCACCAGTATCAGACATACCAGAGTTATTTCCTGGGCTAAGGATCGAGAAGTACTGTAGTATCATAGAAACAATTCCACATGGGGAAACCACTGCACCTGCACAGAGCTCATTATAAGGTCAAGGTCTGAGATAGGCCATTGCAGGGACTGGTGCAATAAACAGGGGTGTTGTCTTCAGTCTTTATCAACCCAGTACAATTCACTAGAACTAAATTCATCCTAGGGGAAGTAATAAAACAGAAAATTAAGATTAATTAATCTTTCAAGCAAGGAGAAAATAAATAAAACTCCAAGCACCATCGCAGTTGGGCGAGAGGCTACAGGGACGTGCAATGAAAGATGTAAGGAGCTCAGAGTTCAAAGCAAAGGTGTAGAAGACAACTGGATCACAATGTATAAGTACCTACATGGGGAAGTGATATCTGACAGTACAGACTCTCTAAAGTTGTAGACAAAGTCATAAGACAACCCAGTGGCTGGAAGCTGAAGCTAGACAAATTCAGACTGGAAATAAGGGTAATTAATTAGCCATTGGAGCAGATTATCAGAGGAGGTGGTAGATTCTTCCTCAAAGATTTGCTCTAGTTCAACCACAAATTACTGGTCTTGGTGCATGAATTTCTGGATGAAAATCTCTGGATTATGTTGTGCAGGCGGCTAAACGAGCCTATCACAATAGTCCTGTGTGACCTTAAATTCTGTGACTCTTCTCGTGTATAAGGGAGGCGATCACAAAACAGAGGACTCGAATGTTACTGATCTCTAGGAGACTGAGTAGCCAAGTAGAAATGAAACACAGGCTTTGCATACCATATATGGAACCTAATGTTGTATGTTCCCCTTTCTACCCTCACCCCAACCCAGGAAAGATTCATAACAGAGAAAGGACACTG